AGGTGATCAAACTCCCTCTTCTGGCATCCTTGGGTAGCAGGCACACAAGTAGTGCATATATATATATATGCAAGTAAAACATCCAGTCACATAAAATAAGAAATTTTTAAAAATAATTTTTAAAAGTTACAAGCCTTGGCACAGAATATGCAGATACTACCTTACAATGTAGAAGTCCTTTAAAGATTTTTTTTACAGAAAAACCAATGGTAGGCTACTGTGAAATAATACTTCTGTACACTGTGAATACGTACTACTCTGATTGGTTATTAAAGAGGCTGACTGGCAAATACCTGAAGAGGATAAGGTAGGACAGTCCTTCAAAATTCCCTGCTTCACAGGAAACTCTGTCAGATATGGTAGGCCAATAGGCCAGACTTAGATGCCCCATCATTACAGAGGAACCTTGGGTGACTGTCCAGGCAACCGCTGTTTCTGTAATTTCTCACATTTTCTTAAAAGTCACTTGCCTGCACTTTCTGCTTCCTCAGGTAATATTTCCTTCTCAAGTCTTTGACAGAGTTAAAGATTAGATAGTTATAATTATAGTTTTCCTTAGTTGTGATATAAGATAAATTAGATATAAACCTTTGGATTCACAAAGATAAGAGATAGAGTATTTTATTTAATTTTGTCAAATACAACCAGACATTGTAACTGTAATTCTTACTTGATAACTGTTTTTGTTGTATATAGTTTTTCTATACTAAGGTTAAAACCTTCCTTTTTAATTAGACAAAAAGGGAGAAATGCTGTGGAATAATCCTCTTGTACACTGTAAAGATTTGTCACTCAAATTGGCTTAAGAAAACATTGATTGGCCAGTAGCCAGGCAGGAATCTTACATGGTACAACCAAACTAGGGATGATGGGAAGGAGAAGGGCAGAGTGAGGAATCACCAGCCAGATACAGAGGGTACAGGAGATGAACATGCCATGGTACTAAAGGTACCAATACATGGCAGAGCATAAATGAGGAATATGGTTTAACTTAAAATGGAAGAACTAGCCGGGCAGTGGTGGTGCACGCCTTTAATACCAGCACTCGGGACACAGAGCAAAGAGGTTCTTTGTGAGTTCTAGGCCAGCCTGGTCTACGAGTGAGTTCCAGGACAGGCTCCAAAGCTACACAGAGAAACCCCATCTCAAGAAACCAAAAAAAAAAAAAAAAAAAGGAAGAGCTAGTTAGTAATAAGTCTGAGCTATTGTCCAAGCATTTATAATATACAATTCATATTAAGACTCTGTGTGGTAATTTTGGAAGCAGCTTCCAGGTATTTTGGAACAGGTAGTCAGGACATTAAACTTCCATTTAGAGTAGGCTTTGATATCATAATAGTTGAAAGGTCAAATAATCATATTTTTATTACAAGCATCAAAAACAGATTTGGGGTGGTTTAAATAGGAAAAAGAACATATTGTAAGGTCATAGATGTAAGAAAACAATTGATAAGGACTTTGGAAAATTGGGACCAGCAAACTGAGAGAATCCAAAGGAGGTTGAACAAGGAGCCATGCATCCAGTCCCAGCACCCAGACAGCAGCTGATATCCATAAAGATGGGCACTCAGAGTTGCTGGGAACTTGGTGCAAATGCTGTTGAGCTGACTAAATGGTAGACTGCCACTCCTTCTCCTTTCCTCAGAAGCCCTGGGCTGCTCATATATAATATCCAAGGAGGTCTTCTCTAATGTAGAAAGGAGCTTTGGATTCCCATAACTCCCCTTCCTTGCTCCCACTTAAATGAAAATGACCTCTAAAATTCATTAGAGGACTATTGTTTTTGTTTTCCTAAGGAAATGGACCCTTTCCTGGGATTATAGACATTTTTGGACTTGGAGGCGGCCTTCTGGAGTATCGGGCTAGTCTGTTGGCTGGGAAGGGTTTTGCTGTCATGGCTCTGGCTTATTATAACTACGATGACCTCCCCAAGAACGTGAAAATCCTTCACCTGGAGTACTTTGAGGAAGCTGTGAACTACCTGCTCAGGCACCCTCAGGTTGGCTGTTATTTTTGTCTCTTGGTTTAGAAACTATGTTCCTAAAACACACCCCACCCCACCAGGTAAGCCTTTCAACCCAGTTGCTCAGACATTGTGAGACAATCCAATCTTCATTTTCAAAGTAGAAAGAAAACCAAATTTCTCAGCTGGATGGAATGTCAGGGCATTGATCTGGTCAGGCAGTCTGATGACTGAATACCTCAGATAAAGGTAGGTATTGGGGTTTGTCTGGAAAGGGAGCCTCCTGGGACAAGCGCACATTTGGCACATAGTGGAAGATGGCAGGTTGGACAGGTGTCTCAGCCTTTAAGATCACTTGCTGATCTTCCAGAGGACCATGGCTGGGTTGCCAATACCCAGGACAAGTGGCCCATAACTGCCTGTAACTCCATATCCAGGGTATAGATGACAGTCACCTGGCTTCTGAGTAGAGTTGTGTATACACAGACAGAGAGAGGGAAACACACACACATAAATACACACATCTAATAAAAAAAAAATCTGGCTTGGCTGAGGGATATCACAGCTGGGCTGGGGCCCTGAGCAGCATCATTGCTTTGCTTGAGTGTGTCTCCAGGCTCTGGTTTTGTCCTGAGCACCAAATGGCTCACACTTGTGAAGCCCTACAGGAGGACCTACCCTTAACTGACAAACATCCTTCACTGGGCAGACAGTAGAGGAGTGAGTCAGGGCTACAAGTGAGGAAGACAAAATCAGGTCCACGTGAGGTCAGAGTGGAGTGTGGGGCAAGGCGGGGACCGATGTGGAAAACAGAAAATCACATTCAGTGTGAACAAGGAAACAAAGAGGCCACTCATGAAACCCAGCAGAAGTGAGAGCTGACAGGAGGAGCCTCCTTTTGCAAGGCTTGAAAGCTTACCTGTTAGAAGCAGTAGAGTCCTTGTCTGGGAGCTTCTGGTTTTGTAAACATTTCAGTGAAAGCCTAGTAGTGTTCCCACAGAGTCCCACTGCCTCACTGTACAATCATGAAATAGTGTAACTTCAGTAACCCTGTCCCCACTCTGCAAAGTCTATCAATGGCTTTGAATTTAAACAAAAAGTCTTCAAAAGTCTCATTCCCCTCAACACTCTTTTTGAAAAATAAGAAACTCACCGGACGGTGGTGGCGCACGACTTTAATCCCAGCACTCAGGAGGCAGAGCCAGCGAATCTCTGTGCGTTCAAAGCCGGCCTGGGCTACCAAGTGAGTTCCAAAAGAGTGCAAAGCTACACAGAGAAACCCTGTCTCAAAAAACCAAAACAAGAAAAAAAGAAAAGAAAAGAAATTCTTTGTTTGAAGCATCACTTTCTTCCCCAGTACCTACACGTGCATTTTGAACTCTTGCTCATAGGCAGAATCTTACCTCACTTTACTAGGATGCTTATTGGATGATCATGAAGTCATGTGAATGTAGACCCCACCACTGTAAATTCATCACAGATAAAAAAGAAAACATTTTCCTGACTTGTCCACATGGGCTTCTTCTAGACCGTGGTGTTGCAGAATATTCCTTTCCACTGTGTGAAGATATGCCCCTGTGATTGGTTTAATAAAACCTGAATGGCCAATAGCAGGAGGAGGTTAGGCAGGACTTCTGGAAATAGGAAGGTCTTGGGAAAAAGAAAGAGTCACCAGCCAGGCACAAAGGAAGCAGGATGGGCAGTACAGAGTAGAGGTAACCAATCCATGTAAAAGAACATAGAATAAAACAGACAGGTTAACTTAAGTTATAAGAACTAGTTAGGAACAAGTCTAAGATAACGCCAAGCATTCATAATTAATAACAAGTCTGTGTGGTTATCTGAAAGCTGGCAGTGGAGGGGTGGGTGCAGAGAAAGAGTACTTACACCATGGGACATAGAGGTGAGCCTCATCTTACCACGAGGGACCTCATCTGAAGAGACTTTATCACCTTTCAAAAGCCAGGATGGTGCAGAGGGAGATTCAGGCTCAGGCCACCTTGCATCCATAGGTTGGCATCACTAACTGTCCTACCCTCCAGATGAACTCATTCCCTTTCTTCTCTCTGTCTCTTTCTTAGGTCAAGGGACCGGGGATTGGCCTGCTGGGGACTTCCAAAGGGGCTGAACTCTGCCTCTCCATGGCCTCTTTCCTGAAAGGCATCACAGCTGCTGTCATAATCAATGGCTCTATGGCCAATGTTGCTGGAACATTATACTATAAGGATGAGACCCTGCCCCCTTTGGGCAGTAATCTAAATCGAATCAGGGAGACCAAAGATGGCCTTAAAGATACTTTGGATGTTCTGAATTGCCCTTTAGAAGGACCTGACCAGAAGAGCATCATCCCTGTGGAAAGGTCAGACACGACCTTCCTGTTGATTGTAGGTCAGGATGACCGGAGCTGGAAGAGCGAGTTCTATGCCAATGAGATATCCAAACGCTTACAGGCCCATGGGAAAGAGAAACCCCAGGTCATCTGCTACCCAAAAGCAGGGCATTATATTGAGCCCCCTTATTTCCCATGCTGCCAGTCTACCCTACTCAATGCTTATAACAGACCTGTCGTCTTTGGAGGGGAGTCCAGTCCTCATGCCATGGCCCAGGTGGATGCATGGCAGAAACTCCAGTCTTTCTTCCACAAACATTTGGGTGGTAAAGAGGGGACAATCCCAGCAAAACTGTGATTTTCTTTGAGTAGTGACATTTCTGATCCCTCCTGAGAAGGGCTGCCACTGTTAGGATATGTACCCATTTTTTTTGCCTTTTAATAAAGTCCAGAAGTTTTCCACCCAAAGGTGTAATGGACTGTCTTCCTTATTGGTTGGAGAACAGAGTGGTTCCTACATTCTTAGGGTGCTAAGGACTGAGCCCAGGGCTTTTGCATGGTAGGCTAGCACTCTGCCACTGGTCAATCCCACTCTACCTTAGAAGGCAGCAATTTGAAAGAAACTTGAGAGGTTGAGAAGCATGTTTGCTCCCTGGTACAGCATGCAGCAGGCAACTTCAGTTCCAGGATGAGAAGTGAGGAACATGGACCAGCACTGCCTGCGATATAATGCAGTCAATAACTATCTGCTAAAGGACGATTAATAAACACATCTTTATCTACAAGAAAGCATATGCTATAGCCCCTTCTGTATGTGGGTTCCACACTGCCAAGTCTACCACCCATGAATTGAACTTATATGAAAACAGCACTGTGTCTATACTGAACATACAGGGGCCTTTTCGGGCCATTATTCCTTAAATTTGTTGTAACTGAAAAGGAACTATTTGTACAGTGTTTGTGTTCCACTTAGGGACATAAATAAGGTGGATGTGATCTTAACATTTTAAAGATTTTCAGATTACATGCCAATTCCACCCCATTTTATATCAAGTACATGAATCACTGGGGAGAAATACATGGATGACAACCAGTCCCTAACTGCACAGAACCTTTGTTAGTGGTGTGTGTGTGTGTGTGTGTGTGTGTGTGTCTCCCTTTGCTCTATTTTCCTTTTAAATTAGAAGTTCCAAAATAGGCAGAAAAGAGAAAGAGAAAAGGAGGAAAGTGTAGGCCTTGGAAAACTATAAAAAACATGCTCAGTTGAAGAACAAAAAAAGCTTTCAGTTTTTGGAAGTTGGAGTAAAGTTGTTTCCCTCTATCCTGAATGCTCAGTAACCTAAAGTTAAGGCCAACATTGACATGCCTGAGTCCCATGCATTTACACAAGGCAGATACAGTTGCCTCCATGCCAAGAACGCAGCCTTGTAGGTTGGAAAGAAAAGACAGAGACACCTGAACCCTTGCAACATGTCACTCGGGGGGTCCAATGGGGCAGATACAAGAACTGAACATTTAAACCATGCCTTATTCAGAGAGCTGACAATCTAGAGGACAAAGGATGGGCATCCTCAACTATCTTCCACCTCATCTGTAACCATCAGATCATATAGGGATGGGGAACAGAGGCAGTGGATCACAAAAATTCATTCTTGCCCTCTGGCCAGGGGATCAACTCTTCTCTCAGACTCTACTTTTCTCTCACTGCCTTTGCTCTGTGCAGCAGGGGAAGGGCTTGTATCCACCAAAGTCACTGAGTCCTGCCTTCCCCAAGTCAATGTGGGTGATTAGATTCAAGGCTAACTCAGAGGCAACAAGGCATGAACAGTGTGTCCCTGATAAGCTGCAGTGTGGGTGAGCAGATCCTCCCATGAATGAAATGCAGACGTCTCTTGTAATAGAGAACATAATGTGTATTTCCAAATCCCACACAAAGCAACAACTGGAAATTTAGTCTTTGTTTATAGGTATAAAGACTATAAGGCCGGGCGGTGGTGGCGCACGCCTTTAATCCCAGCACTCGGGAGGCAGAGCCAGGCAGATCTCTGTGAGTTCGAGGCCAGCCTGGGCTACCAAGTGAGTCCCAGGAAAGGCGCAAAGCTACACAGAGAAACCCTGTCTCGAAAAACCAAAAAAAAAAAAAAAAAAAAAAAAAAAAGACTATAAGACTATTAGGAAAACCAACACGGGAATCTGAAAAGACACAGTGAGCAGACAGAACCACAGACGGAGCAGTTATCACATATCCAGACTATAAGGAAAACCAACACAGGAATCTGAAAAGACACAGTGAGCAGACAGAACCACAGACGGAGCAGTTATCACATATCCAGCGACCAAAGACAGCTTATAAAAATGTCCTCACTAGCATGCTCAGACTTGATATCTGAGAGTACTGTATACCAAGTTAGAAGAAAGAAATATGTAACCTTAGAACTTTTTCTAAAGATCACCATGTAGAAAATATATTACAAAATCAAGGCATGGGCTACAATGTAGAAAATTTATTACAAAATCAAGGCATGGGCTACAATGTAGAAAATACATTTAAAAACTCAGGGCAAGGACCATTACAAGGCACACCCTGATCTACATGTATTCTGGGGTAGCTGCAGGTGGACAAGCCCTGAGACACTGAGGGTTCACTCAATTCTAAGAATTTAGGATGAATGGAAACAATGAAAAGGAAATGGAAATCCACCAGAGCTGCTAGTGATTTGCACTCAGGAGGCATGTGGTGTGTTTCAACAAGCCTGGTTCTGATGTGCCAGAACTGAAGCCAAAAGTGGTGTATTTTAAAAATGGCAAGAAGGAGTCACACCATACAACAGGGCCCAAATGGGACATTTATTCAGGGGAGGGGAGAGAAGGAGGCAGAGAAGGAGGCAGAGACTGGTCCCTGGGGACGAGGGCAAAAGAAGAGAAAGAGATAGACATTAGGTAGGCAAGGCCCGCCTTTTAGTGCCTGAAGCTGAGGATATATTCTGTCAGGACCCTAAGGGCAGGCCAGTACAGATGCCTAAATGCTAACAAAAAGTGGTAGGTACCAGGAGACCCAAGATAGAAACAGAGGGTTCCAGGATTAAACAAGACAAAATTTACTGGGAACTTAACAGACAGAAATGTGTCTTGAGCAGTAACTTGACAGGGAGACTTTCGCATCCAATCACAGGATAAAGGTTCATAGCTTACATTTGGTAAAGGTGGGCCATGAGAACTGGAATGTACCTAGTCTTCTCTAACTCATTGTCAGTTAAAAACAATCTGGGTTGCTCTGATGCAGACCCCAGCAGCCAGCCAGCAAGTGAGAGACCTGTGGGCAGGTGGCACCACCATCATTGTTACCCAATGGACTGGGTTCCCATAAGACACACTCTGCCATCCACCCACCCCCACCTACCCTAGCATCCTCCCCACATGCACTCCTCTCCTCCAACATCAGCAAACCCTCTAGACACAAGAGCCGCCCACACCAGCTGGAAGAACAGGTGAGTGAATGGTCTCCCAGCTAAACTGCCCCAGTCTCTAGGCCCTAAGCCCCAGGGTATATCCTGTGCCCCTCCCCATCCCACCTCAGCCCTAGCAAAGCAGCTGGGACGAGCCCCCAGCTCTGGTGGAATCCCACTGCTCTGGTGCAGACCCAGCAGCAGGCCAGCAGGTGAGATCCTGCAGGCAGGCTGCACCACACCACTGCCACCCACTGGACTCTGTTCCCACAAGAACCACTCTGCTGCACAACCACACTTACCCCAGCATCCTCCCTGAGCACAGCACTCTATGGCAACATCAGCAACTTACAGGCACAAATGCCACCCATACCAACTGGAAGTACAGCAGCCCCTATAGGCACAAGCACCACCTATACCAGTTGGAAGAGGAGATGGTAAGCACCAGTCTAAGAATATATACAGCAACATAAAGGGCAATATGCCACCACCAGAACCCAGTGGTCCTACAACAGCAAGACCTGAACATCTCAACGCAGATGAAGCAGAAAAAAAAAATGACCTTAAAAATAACTTGATGAGATGATAGAGGCCCTTACAGATGAAATGAAAAATTCCCATAAAGAAATTGAGGAAAAGAAAAAACAAAAAATTGGAAGAAATCAATAAATCCCTTAGAGAAAACAATCAAACAGGTGGGCTGGAGAGATGACTCAGAGGTTAAGAGCAATGACTGCCCTTCTAGAGGTCCTGAGTTCAATTCCCAGCAACCACATGGTGGTTCACAACCATCTGTAATGAGATTTGGTGCCCTCTTCTGCCATGCATGCAGAGCACTGTATACATAATAAATAAATCTTTTAAAAAAAATCAAACAGGTAAAGGAAACAGTTCAAGACTTGAAAATTGAAATAGAGGTTATAAAGAAAACAAAAAATGAGAGAATTCTGGAAATGGAAAATCTGGGGAAGCACACAGGAACTACAGGTGCAAGCATCTCTAGCCGAATAGAAGAAATGGAAGGGAGAATCTCTGATACAATAGAGGAAATAGATTTATCGACCAAAGAAAAGGTTAAATCCAAAAAATTCTTAACACAAAATATCCAGGAAATCTGGGACGCCATGAAAAGACCAAACCTAAGAATAATAGGGATAGAAGAAGGAGAAGAATTCCAACTCAAATGCACAGAAACTATATCCAACAAAATCATAGACAAAACCTTTCCCAACCTAAAGAAAGATATGCCTATGAAGATACAAGAAGCTTACAGAACACCAAATAGACTTAATAAGAAAAAAAATTCCCCTTGCCACATAATAATGAAAACACTAAACATACAGAATAAAGAAAGAATATTAAGAGATGCAAAGGAAAAAGGCCAAGTAACATATAAAGGCAGACCTATCAGGATTACACCAAATTTTTCAATGGAGACTCTAAAAGCCAAGAGGTCCTAGACAGATGTTTTGCAGACACTTAGCCTTCAAGGAAATGCAAATCAAAATGACTCTGAGGTACCATCTTACACCTGTCAGAACGGCTAAATTCAAAAACACTGATGACAGCGCATGTTGGAGAGGATGTGGAGTAAGGGGAACACTCCTCCAATGCTGGTGGGAGTGCAAACTGGTACAGCCACTTTGAAAATCAATATGGTAATTTCTCAGAAAATTGGGAATCAATCTACCTCAAGATGCAGCTATACCAATATACCCAAAGGATGCTCAATCATACCACAAGGACACTTGCTCAACTAGATATACAGCAGCATTATTCATAATAGTCAGAACCTAGAAACAACCTAGATGTCCCTCAAGTGAAGAATGGATGAGGAAAATGTGGTACATTAACACAATGGAGTACTACTCAGCTGTGAAAAAAAAAACAATGACATCATGAAATTTGCAGGCAAATGGATGGAATGAGAAAAAATCTGAGTGAGGTAAACCAGACTGAGAAAGACAAACATGGTATATACTCACTCATAAGTGGATATTAGGAGTCAAGTACAGGGTAAACAACCTACAATCCACAGCCCCAGGCTAGAGAACAAAGAGGGACCAAAGAGGCATGCATGGATTTCCCAGGAAGGGGAAATAGAAGAGATCTCCTGGGTACACTAAGGGCAGGGTTGGGGGGTAAAGGATGGGAACTTGAGGGAGCAGGTTGGACAGGCTGGGTGTAGGAGGAAGTTTGGGGGCCGGATGGAGGGCTAGGGAGAAACCTCGTGTCACAGAAACTCCCAGAAATCTACAAGGATGACCCTAGCTAAGACCCCTAGCAAGAGTGGAGAGGGTGCCTAAACTGACCATCTACTGTAATCAGATTAGTGACTACCCTAATTGTCATCACAGAGCCTTTATCTAGTAACTGATGGAAGCAGATGCAGAGATCCACAGCCAAGCACTGGGCTGAGCTCTGAGAGTCCTCCTGAAGAAAGGGAGGAGGGATTGTACGAGAGGGGTGGGGTGGGGTGTGTGTGTGAGTCAAGGTCAAGGAACCTACAGAGACAGCTGATCTGAGCACAGGGGAGGACATGGACTCTGGACCAACAGTTAGGGAGCCTGCATGGGACTGTCCTAGGCCCTCTACATGTGTGTGACAGTTGTGTAGCTTGGTCTGTTTGTAAGGCTGCTAGCAGTGAGATCAGGACCTGTCCCTTGTGCTTAGCTGGCTTTGGGGAACCTGTTCCCCATGCTGGATTACCTTGCCCAATCTTTATAGAGGGGGAGGAGCTCAGTCCTACCTCAAATTGATGTGTCATGCTACGTTCAAGCCCATGGGAAACCTGCACCTTTCTAAAGGGGGACAGAGGAGGAGTGGGTGGATGGGGAGGGGGGCATATGGGAGTCAGGAGGGGGGAGGAATAGGAGGATAGTAGGGAGGGGAAATTGTGGTTGGTATGTAAAATAAAGAAAAAAAAGATAATTAAAAAAATCTTAGTCGGGCTGTGGTGGCGCATGCCTTTAATCCCAGCACTCGGGAGGCAGAGGCAGGTGGATCTCTATGAGTTCGAGGCCAGCCTGGTCTCCAAAGTGAGTTCCACAAAAGGCATAAACCTACACAGAGAAACCCTGTCTCAAAAAACCAAAAAACAAACAACAAAAAAAATCTGAGCACCAGCAGATGGTACAAGCTTAGCTCACTGTCTCAATGACTTTGTTCATCCTAAGTGCTTGGGTTATGTGATATAATAACCTATACAAGGTAGCAGGTATAACCAAGGGTACCGATAATAACATCAGGCTGCATCCCCACAATGTTACAAAGGAGGACTCTGATATGTACAGAAAATTTTAGATTAAAGCCTTTACAATGAAATGAAAACTTAAAAAAAAAATTCCCAGTTGAAGCCAAACAATGGTAGCACATGCCCTTAATCCTAGGACTTGGGATTCAGATCTCTGAGTTGGAGACTAGCCTGGTCTAACAGAGTGAGTTACACAAAGAAACTCTGTCTCGAATAACCAGAAGAAAGAAAAAAGAAAGAAAGAAAGGAGGGAGGGAGGGAGGGAGGAGGGAGGGAGGAGGGAAAAGGAAGGGAGGAAGAAAGGAAAGAAAAATCTTTGAGCTCTTTAGGCCCCGGGGAGTGTGCCCAGAAATGGAGTTGTGGAATCCTAATGTCTTTTTTCTAACTTGTGATGTGTACACAGGTGCACCTCATTTTACCATCTACTCTGCCCACTAAAGGCCTCAACAATGGAGCCCCAAGATCGTGGACTGGAATACAGAAACTTTAAAAATTTCTCATCGTAAATTAAGATTCTGGGATATCTCGTTGTAGTAAAGCAAACCTAACTAAACAATTATCTTTTGGAAAGAGAGGAAAAAAAAAAAAAAAACAAAAAAAACCTCTGGGGCAGAAGAGTGGCCCCTAGGGTCTGGGAGTGAGAGATCTGTTTCTGGATTGTGTCCTGCTAAGGATACGCCCACGTGATTGTGTGTATAAATTCTCTTTACACAGTCAATCCATTCTTTTTGTATCTGACTTTGCTATATTTCAAAGTGTCTGTCAAATCTTGTGTGGTGGAAACTTAGTAACCACTGCGCCAGTATGGTTGAGTAGAAACTTAAAGAGGACTCTATGCTGGTAAATGGAGTGAGTTACAGGAGTGGGCATCTCTAGTTTTCCCTTTGAAGGATGGGTTTGGCCTTTTTCTTGCAGGCTTTGTCTATGGGTTTGTTGAAAACAGGATCTCTCTATGTATGCCAGTCTGGCTTGGAATTGCAATGATCCTCCTGTTTTTTGAGTGCTGTTTGCCTTTAGCTACTGGATGACATGTGACCAAGTATTGGCCTCCCTCCAACTTGGTCTTCCCAGGCCTCAAAAACTGTAAGACATAAATCTCTTTTCTTTATAAATTACCCAACCTTATGTATTTCTCTAGAGAAGCAAAAACAGTCTAAAATTATGAGTGACACGGTATTTAAAAATTGTTTAACAAAAAAAAAAAAAAAACAAACCTAGTACTGAATCCACTCAAAGGCCGGACTTTGCCTCGATTTTATTTACCTAGTGTCTACTGATCCTCAACACCACGTGCTCAGAATCCTCTGCCCTGGCTCAGCCCCACTGCTACTTTGACCTCTCCTGTCACCCGGGAGACATCAGCCCGATTTCAGTCCCTTCCGTATTCGGGACGAGACCCGCCAGGTCGGCTCCACAGCAGGCCAGGCTCCTCTCGGGACCCGCGTGCCCTTCCCGGTGACCTGCAGCCTCTGAGCTCCCAGCTCCCCATGGCGGCGGCGGCGGCGACGCTGAGCCTGGAGCCCGCGGGCCGCAGCTGCTGGGACGAGCCGCTGAGCATCGCCGCGCGCGGCCTGGCCCCCGAGCAGCCCGTCACGCTGCGCGCCGCCCTGCGCGACGAGAAAGGCGCGCTCTTCCGCGCCCACGCGCGCTACCGCGCCGACGCCCGCGGCCGGCTGGACCTGGCGCGCGCGCCCGCGCTGGGCGGCAGCTTCGCGGGGCTCGAGCCCATGGGGCTGCTCTGGGCCCTGGAGCCCGAACGGCCTTTCTGGCGCCTGGTCAAGCGCGACGTGCGGACGCCCTTCGTGGTGGAGCTGGAGGTGCTGGACGGCCACGAGCCCGACGGCGGCGGGCGGCTGCTGGCGCGGGCGGTGCACGAGCGTCACTTCATGGCTCCCGGGGTGCGGCGCGTGCCCGTGCGCGAGGGCCGTGTGCGCGCCACGCTCTTCCTGCCCCCAGGTGAGCGCCTCCTCCTGTGCTCTCTTCTCGTCCTGTACAGCCTGGCAAGACAATCAAATAATTGCGTGACTTCCAAAGCCTGTCAGTCGTTTTAAATGGAAAATTTTCTACCAAGTCTCATCCCCTTAAGGGACCGGGAGTCCCTCAGCTATATGCTGAAGAAGGCACTCCACTTTTATTATTGAAATCCAGTAAATACCGGCCACGTGGGTACATTTTAAGTACCGATATAATCAATAACTTATGCCTGTACTAAGAATGACTTTTGCCTCCTTTCACATCAAACTTTCAAAGAGCCTTAAACCCACAAATGAAGCCGATGCTCCCTAATCATTAAGACGCACATGAATATCCGTGGCAGCCACTCCCCCGACCATAAACATGCTGATGGTTGTTCTCAACATTTGGTAATATATGCAGATTTTTGTTTGTCAAAAATGAAGGCGGGAGATGCTGTTGCCATCTAGCTGGTCGGGGCCAACGATGCTGCTGACTTTCCCGCCATATACTGAACAGCCCCAGAACAAAATTATTCTGTTCCAAATGGATACAGTGGGCTGGAGCGCTCAGTCAGCAAAGTGTTTGCTTGGCAACCATGAAGTCCCGAGTGCAGGTCCTCCGTTCCTCAGTACCCATGTAAACAGCGGGGCACCAGCGTTGACGCCTGCAATTTGTTATGCCCAGATCGTGGGGAACCCCCAAAAGACCACCACGGAGACTGAATCCCGCATGTAAAAGCAGAGAGCCTTTATTATCTTCAAGCGCTGAGCTTGGTCTCTCTGTTTGATGCAGCGGTGAGGGCAGAAAGCTCTGAGCCCAGGCGGGGTTGAGTTTTTATCATAGCAGTGGTTGGTGTGAAGGAATTTCCAGGGTTCAGGACCCTGATTGGCTGACAATTGTCTAGGGGTATCTGTAAAACAAAAATAGGTGTGTGCTAGACTCAAGGACATCTGGCCACCTTTTGTAATGGTTGGAATGTTTGGGATGTCAGGTCCTTCCTCATCCCTGGGTGGATCCCTGGGTGGGGTCAGCTTACGGCTTTTCCTGAATCTGGGTGTTGCCTGCCAGTAAGCCTGTCACAGAAGCTGCTCTGGGCCTGTAAGTCTGTCATGGCAGCCCTGTGGTCAAGCTGTTTTGGGGCCCCTCCACACAACTGTAGCCTGGAAGCACAGACAGAATTTCTGGGGATTGTTAGCTGGTATTCTAGCCTGCCAGTGAGCTCCAGGTTTAGAACCAGTCTCCAAAAGTAAAGTGAAAAACTATTGATGAAGACACCCAATATTTATCGACCTTTGGCCTCTCCACATACATCAGGACACACACACTCAAGCACAAGCACTCACATGCACATAAAACACACACACACACACACACACACACACACACACACACACACACGGATTTACGTTGGTTTGAATAAAAATGTCCGCCATAGGTCCATGGGGAGTGGCACTATTAGGAGATGTGGCCTTGTTGGAGTAGGTGTGGCTTTGTTGGAGGAAGTGTGTCACTAGGGGGTGGGCTTTGAGGTCTCAGAAGCTCAAGCCAGGCCTCGTGACTCACTGTCTCTTCCTGCTACCCATGGATCCAGATGTAGAACTCTCAGCTCCTTCTCCAGCACCATGATTGCCTGCATGCCGCCATGCTTCCTGCCATGACAACAATGGACTAATTTGAACTGTAAACCAGCCCCAGTTAAATGTTTCCTTTGTAAGAGTTGCTGTGGTCACGGCGCCTCTTCACAGCAATGGAAACCCTAACTAGGACATAAGTACTGTGCTGATGTTGACAAACCCTGGTCTAAGAAAAATAGGGTGCAGTCTACATAAACAGTGGGAGGACAGCCACTGGTGTTATGGATTATTACAAGGGGACCCCGAGGGTATCCTGTGCGTGTAGGGAAACATGCTGGCATGCTGGGCATATGCGGAGGGTGGCTGGTGGGTGACCCACTCCATGCAAGCATGGCAGTGGGGTGGCGAGTGGACATTCACAACCCAGATGCTTCATCTGCACGGAAATGGTGTATTATAACAGAGAGACGGAGAGAAGATAGGAAAGAGGGAGAGAAGAGGGAAAGAGAGAGAGGGAAAGAGAGGGGTTAAAGGGTGCACACCTCATGGGAGTGGAGAGAGAGAGAGAAGGGGGCAGAGTTTTTCCTTAAGAAGAGGCTTCTACATCAGGATGCAGGATGGCCCAAGGGGTGGGATTTCGAGGTACAGATCAGAATATTAACAACTGGCATCCCCCTTCCAACCACAGAAAGGTACTAGAGTCACTGCAGTGCCCAGGACTTTGAAACTGAACTTGGTGATTGCTGTAGAAAGTAAGGGGATACACCTCATTTTTACTGCTCTTGGGTACTTTCTAATTACCTAGTGGCTGCTTGGCCCAGTGGGAACTCCTGCGACTGGAATTGAGTCCCACTTTATTTCTCTCCATTTCTGGAGACTTCCACACAACTTTAGTAGGAGCTCTGCAAATCACCGTGATGGATTCAGTCATCCAGTAAGAGTATTTATCCTGATCACTGTTGTGATGCTGTGAAGAGACACCATGACCAAAGCAATTCTTATGAAAGCATTTAACTGGGGGCTCGCTTACAGTTTCCAAGGTTGAGTCCATTATCACGACGAGGAGCATGGCAGCATGTAGGCAGGAACTGGAGCAGTAGCTGAGAGCTACATCCTGATCCATAGACAAAGAGAGCAGCACTGGACCTCGTGTGGACTTTTGAAACCTCAAAGCTCACTCCTAGTGACACACTTCCCCCAACAAGGCCACACCTCCTAATCCTTCTCAATCAGTGCCACTCCCTGATGACTGAGCATTCAAGTATATGGGCCTACGAGGCCCATTCTTACTAAAACCACCACAGTGTTATAAAGGCTTTCATTAAGGACAAGCTAACGACATGATACACAAGTAAATTATTTAAGTAGTGTGCTGGTACATATTTGAAATCCCGGCACTCCAGAGGCGGAGGCAAGGAGGGTCAAGAGTTCAAGATCCTGTGTTACCAGGCAAGTTTGAGGCTAGTAGGAACTACATGAGACTTAAAGAGCAAGAGGGAAATGAAGAAGGAAAAAAAATAGAATGAGAAAATAAAAACAAACAGAAAATGTCAGTGTCTACTATGTGGCCTGTGGTGGTTCAAATGAGCATGGCCTCCATGGGCTTATATATTTTTCAAATATATATCTTGTCCCCAGTTGATAGAACTGTTTGGAAGGGATTAGGAGGCATGGCTTTGTTGAAGGAGGTGTGGCTTTTGAGGTTTCAAAAGGCAGCAAGGTCTCAGTTCTCCCCGCATTGTGCTTCTGGATCAAGATAGGAGATCTCAGCTACTGCGCCAGTACCATGCCTACCTGCTGCCCTCCTCCCCTGCCAACCCCATGATGATCACAGATCCCGACCCTTTGAAACCGTGAATTAAACGCTTTCTCTTATTAGTTGCCCTGGTCTTGGTGTTTTTTAATCACAGCAATAGAAAAGTAAGTAAGACGTGACCTGTCAAAATTTTGGGCAAAATTTGTAGTGTAATAGAAATTACGCTTCTACACAGCACACAGTGTGGCAGGCACTTAGTCTGTAGCTCCCTCTCAGACTAAGGCACCGGTGAGACATGTCTAAGACTGTCTAATCCAGCTCAGCCTTGGGGACATGTGCAAAGACTGTCTGGAAGGGGAATCTAAGTTGAAAAGTTAGCAAATTGAGAAGTTGAGCAGATCAAAGTCAGGAGAGAGACAGAACAGTACAGTCAGCAAAAGAAACAGTATATATAAGTATTCAGGGGTCAGAACAACGTGACTGATGTAGGGCACCCTTCTTTAAAGTAGAAAAGATAATAAAGAGAGAGGAATACCCTCTAGTAACCCCTGGTGTACCTAAGAGTGTTTTACACCCATAAAACCTTTTCAGGGGAAACTGAAAAAGTTGTTGGAAGATGTGCATTATCTTTAAACTTTATTATTATTTGTGACAATTGGGGGGGTCAGGGGAAATATTTTGTTCCACTTCTCTTTTCTCTGTAGGTAATTAAAAGCAAACAGCTAGACATGGAGGTACACATTTTTAATCCCAGAAGGCAGAGGCAGGCAGATCTCTGTGAGCTTGAGACCAGCCTGGTCTAATAATGAGTTCCAAGCTAGGCCAGAGCTACACAGTGAGACTCTGTCCAAAAAAAAAAAAAAAAAAGCCAGATGTGGTGCCACACATGTGTAACTCCCCTGTTGAGAGGCAGAGGCAGGAGGGTCCAGGTTTCCAGGCTACCTTATACACTGTAGTAAAACCATGTCTCCAAATAAACAAATAAAGTAGGAAGGGTCCTGATTCACAAATATTTCAGGCCATCTGCATCCCCAACTACAAAGACTTTCTCACTGATTGCCAGAATCTGAATCCCTAGATAGCCTTTGAGCAGCTAAGGCATTTTGTGATGTGATGATGTGTCCTGCTCCGCAGGCAAGGGGAGATTCCCTGGGGTCATCGACTTGTTTGGAAGTGGCGGTGGCCTGTGTGAATACAGGGCCAGCCTCCTGTCTGGGCACGGTTTTGCTGTACTCGCTCTGGCTTACTTCAGATTCGAAGACCTCCCTGAGTATTTGAGTGATGTGCGCCTGGAGTACTTTGAAGAAGCCTTGGCCTTTATGCTGCAGCATCCAAAGGTGGGTTCCAGTGCTGTCCTGAATACAAAGGAGGGCATGGAGTGGACTCAGGGCCAGAGCCAAAAGCCCTGCCATGACACTGGGCATTAGAGATATGAAGGGAGATCCCAGCACTCCCTCAACAGCTGCTAAGATTATTCCTATTTCCTCTTTCATATCTCTTAAGATTTGACTGTTTAGTTCCTTTTCTAACTACCATAGCTCCAAAGCACTGCACTAAGAAACTGCTCACCTTGAATTCTCCTCCCGCTACCGCCCAAGTAAGGGAGCTGACATCTCGGAGGTTTGACTCTCCTCATTACTAACACTAATATAAGTTTCTAGTGGGAAAAGTTTGACTGAAAAGAGGCATGTTGGGCTGGAGAGATGGCTCAGCGGTTAAGAGCACTGGCTGCTCTTCCAAAGGTCCTGAGTTCAATTCCCAGCAACCACATGGTGGCTCACAACCATCTGTCATGAGATCTGGTGCCCTCTTCTGGTCTGCAGGGACACATGCAGACAGAACACTGTATACATAATAAATAAATAAATCTTAAAAAAAAAAAAAAAAAAAAAAAGAGGTATCTTTGAGACCTCTGGTGACGCCTGAATAGGGATGGTGTTTTTGATGATATTAAGGATCCTCATCAGTGCTGTACGTGTGATAAATATTATTGTACTGGCAAGTTTTATGTCAACTTGACACAAGCCAGAGTCATCAGAGAGGAGGGGGCCTCAACTGAGAAAATGCCTCTGTAAGACTGGCCTGTAGGGGCTGGGCGGTGGTGGCACACGCCTTTAATCCCAGCACTCGGGAGGCAGAGCCAGGAGGATCTCTGTGAGTTCGAGGCCAGCCTGGGCTACCAAGTGAGTTCCAGGAAAGGCACAAAGCTACACAGAGAAACCCTGTCTCGAAAAACCAAAAAAAAAAAAAAAAAAAAAAAAAAAAGATTGGGCTGTAGGCAAGCCTGTAGGGCATTTTCTTAATTAGTGATTGATAGGGGAGGATCCAGCCCATTGTGGGTGGTGCCACCCCTAGGCTGGTGTTCCTAGGTTCTATAAGAAAGCAGGCTGAACAAGCCATAAGGAGCAAGCCAGTAAGCAGCACCCTTCCATGGCCTGTGCATCAGCTCTGCCTCCAGGTTCCGGCCCCACCTGAGTTCCTGCCCTGACTTCTTTCCATGGACTGTGATGTGGAAATGAAAGCCAAATGAACTCTTCCTCCCCAAGTTGCTTTTGGTCATGGTGTTTTATCACAGCAGTGATAACCCTAACTGAGATAATTATTATGCTTTTATGAAGTATCTGCTAGCAGAAAATTTATTTTAAATATTTTCTGTGAATGTAAGTGGAATGACACAAACTTTTGCTGCCATTTAAACTTAGAGTAGTAAGGGTCCGAGGAAATGCCTCATAGCTAAGGGGAGTTTCAGGGACAGTTAGATCATCTCAAATGCAATTGTTTAAGCAAGCAGCAGTTACACTAGTATACTTTGAATTGGCTGAGGTTTAGTCCTATTGTTTGTGGACATTCTTGCACAAGCTTGGACAAGTTCAGGTGTGACTCAGGAGAGGACTGCTGGATTTGTCCTTGAAGCATGGTGAGGCTGACCTGACTTAGGCTTTGTGCTTGTTTTCTCTCGTCCCTGAGTGCAAAGGTATTGTGGATAAGCATATATATATATATATATATATATATATATATATATATATATATATATATATTTGTTGCTGGAGAATTTCTCTCCAGCTCCCGCTGCTAAGTCCCGCCAGTCCCAGAGCCCACTTATAAAATAAACACACAGACTCTTACATTATTTAAACTGTTTGGCCTAATGGCTCAGGCTTTTAACTATCTAGTTCTTACATCTTAAATTAACCCATTTCTATAAATAAATCTATACCTTGCCACATGGCTTGTGGCTTATCAGTATCTTACATGTGGCTTCTCATGGCCGCAGCTGGCAGTGTCTCTCTCTCTGTCTTCCTGTTCCCTCAATTCTTCTCTCTGTTAGTCCCGCCTATACTTCCTGTCTGGCTACTGGCCAATCAGTGTTTTATTTATACAGAGCGAGATATATTTGTATATATATCTTTGTATATATATACAAAGTTGTATATAATAACTTTGTATATTATTGCGTAAAGAGGACAAAGAAGGTACTTGAAGAATATAAAATCACTGCATGCTTTCCACCAATGAACACCACACTTGTTCTCTCTCCTCATCAGGTGAAAGGCCCGAATGTTGGGCTTCTTGGTTTCTCCAAAGGTGGTGACCTGTGCCTCTCGATGGCTGCTTTCCTAAGGAACATCACGGCCACTGTCCTTATCAACGGCTGTGTGGCCAACACAATAGCTCCCCTGTATTACAAAGATCTGTTTGTTCCTGATCTTGGCTGTGACCCAACAAAACAAAAGACCATGGAGTCGGGCCTTTTGGATTTGGTGGATATTTGGAACAATCCACTAGAGGAACCTAACCGTCAAAGTCTTATTCCACTGGAAAAGGCCCAGGGACCCTTCCTGTTCATTGTGGGCATGGATGATCATAACTGGAAGAGTGAATTCTATGCCCACATAGCCTGTGGACGTCTACAAGCCCACGGAAAGGACAGGCCCCAGATAATCTACTATCCAGAAACTGGTCACTGTATTGACCCACCTTATTTCCCTCCTTCCAGAGCTTCTGTGCATGCGGTGTTGGGTGAAGCGGTATTCTATGGAGGTGAGCCGAGGGCTCACTCAAGGGCGCAGGTGGATGCCTGGCAACAAATTCAAACTTTCTTCCAAAAATATCTCAATGGTGAAAAACCTGTGGAGCGCAGCAAAATATAACACTGCAATTATATAACAAATACCATTTTTGAAAGCTCTAGTCCTGTAAGTTCCTTTGGTCTTCCAGAGTACTAAGGAGGCTTTTTTTTTTTTTTTTGGTAGTCTCACATATATCCCCCACTGAGCCTCACATTCACTGTGTAGACAAGGATGACCTTGAACTTCTGACCCTCCTGTTTCCACCTCTTCAGTACTGATATTATAGTCAGACACTATCATGCCTAGTTTTAGACATTGTCAGGGACACAGCCCAGGGCTTTGTGTATGGTAGGCGAGCATGCAGCCGACAGAGCTATAGCCCCAGTCCCCTGGAAAGCTCTCCTAGGAAGCTGAGCCTCCTTGTAGGGTTCTACTGGACCCTGAGCCTTTGAAACAACTCACCTTCCTTCACTGCTGGGTCTACTCTCGCCTCTGACCTTTAACTAATGGATCTGTTAACTCTGTGTCTGGAAGGCCAACCTTAACCTTAGGTAAAAGACTGTAGGAAGTGTTTGTCCAACTCCCCGTCACTGGACTATCTGTGGCTCTGCTTCTGAGGACTGATCTGGATTGCTCTGAAGTCTCACATCCCCTTTGGGCCCTAACGGATTTTATCCGAGCCTTCAGAACCTGTCTGCTGAAGTCACACAATACATGGATTCCGCCTTGTTCTTGTCAGTTTTTAACATGCCTGAATTTTACTCAAGACTTCACCCTGACCCCTAGGTATCCATCAATATACTTCTTTTATGTTTACCATCTTGTCTGGATTACCAACCACTGTGTGGTATTTTCCTGCCTGGAAAAAAAAAATGTCTTGATGCCAAGATTTTCAGGACTATGAAATATGAGCCAGAGCCTATGACTTTGGGCACAAAGTTATGCCCACTGAGTCACACTTTCTCCCAATACCATCTGCTCTGATTACAACTGAGAAGACTAGTTGTTTCACCCTACTAGAGTTGAAGCATTATCTGGAGTCCTGAGATTCCAGAGCACAGGGTCTTCCCTGAGAGAAGGAGCCTCTTATTAGGGAGCCTCTATGGGCCACATAAGTGTAAAGCTTAGAAATCAGTTCTCCCAAACTATTAGTCATAATAAAACCATCAAGTGATATAAAAGTAGTATCTTCAAAAATGCCTCCATAGTAGCAAGTAGATCTACATCTCAGGCTAACCATGTGACCTGTCTTCGGGGACATCAGAAGAGAGAATCAGATCCCATGTGGTTGCTGGGAGTTGAACTCAGGACCTGAGCCATCTGTCCAGCCCCAGTAAACCAAGTTTTGAAATGTCATGGCTTTCAAGTCAGAGGACTTCCTCTGTTTCTGTTATCTTGCCCTACTATGTGATAGTTCAATTTGGTGTCTCATTAAAGGTTTCAATTTGAACTGTGATGATCTTTCTTAATCTAACACAAAGATCTCCCCCTCCCCCGCAAGGACCAACTTGTCCTAGCACATGGGTGCTTCCACTAAGCAAGTTTAGGGAACAGTGTCCCCTGGTGGCCAGAGAGAGATTTTAGAGCTGGTGACCTGGGAATATTTTCAGTTAGAAACCACTGCTTTGCTTCTGGTCTCTTTTCTCTGAGTGGTAGACTGAGTATGAATGAGATCTTGAATCTTGCATGCTGTCCTACTATTAGGTAAAACATAAACATGCTAGCCAAGCCTTGTTGCTGTGTGTACAGCCTGTCAAACTTGGAAACCCCCGGCCTCAGCTTTCATGATAAAGCCTCGATTCATTTGATAAAATGATCATTCTAATTTGAGCTAATAAACCTTCCACCTATATAAAATGTTGACAATTAATGACTATTGCAACAGTTTTGTACAATTGCTAACAGCGTTACATGTGACAAATTTTCTTCTCTTTTATTCAATACACACCTTTGCTTAAAGATTAAGGATTTTTTTTAACGTATTTGTTCCAGTTCCTCCGTCATTTAACATTTTAGCTGTGCTTATCAGAGTTCAGATTTTCTGAATTTTGGGAAACCATTTCAATACTATTTTAAACTTTTCTCTCAACTTCCTTTGACCCAGGCCAGAAATAATTACAAACTGACACCAAGCCACATTTTCTTTCTTTTCTTTTTTTTTAAATTTTATTTTCTGGAGCTGAGGACCGAACCCCAGGGCCTTGTGCTTGCTAGGCAAGTGCTCTACCGCTGAGCTAAATCCCCAACCCCAAAGCCACATTTTCCGGTGAACAACTTTTAGAATCTATTGAGTGATTTTTGAAGGATTTAAAAAAAAAAAAAAAAAAGCAAGAAAGAAGCAAAAGGAAAAAGGAAAGGTCTATTATATAATTCTTTTGTTTCTTTGTTTCTTAGGGGAATGTTTTCAGCCTTAGAAAATCTGAAGCCCTTAGAAAATCAAAGCATTCTTTATGGTTTTGTTTTGTTAGTTTTTCTGTTTTGAGACAGGACCCACTGTGTACTCTTGGCTTTCCTGGAGCTTGCTGTATGCAAGGGTCTCGGTAAAGAGACCAGTAACATAGCTGTTCCATGATTAAGGGGAAGGTTTTTCCTTGTGGACAAGAGAAAGGGAATAGCCAGAGGCATCTGGGGGAGTCTGCCATGGCTACCTCTCGGGGACAGAGAGAAAAGATAGCGAGAGGAGCCGATTGGCAACTGCTAGGGCTACGGGAACAGAGAGTCGTGCCTGTGATAAGGGGTTATGTCGGGCAGGAGGAGAGCAGGTTAGCGGCAGTGCCTGGGAAATGGCCTGGGGCTCTGATCTGTTGGAGGCTTGAGTCCACGGAGAGCTAAATGCCCTTTCCGGAAGTTGGGAACCTGTAGGAGCAGATAAGAAAGTAATGGCTTTTCCTGGCAAACAGAAAAACACTTTACAAGGTTTCTGAGGAATGCTGAGTATTTGCAGGGTCAGAGTCCAGCCTGAGCTGAGCCCAGACTGCCATCCTGCGGGGTTAGGATCTGACACTGGCTATGTTGACCAAACTGGCCTCAAACTCACAGAGATCCCTCCTTCCTCCCCAGTGCTGGGATTAAAGGAATAGGCCACATACCTAGCTCACAGTGTTCTTGATATGAAATGTGTCAAAATATGTTGAATTAATTTGCAGAGACAAGTAAATGTCTGATAATATGAAGTTGGTATAATGGTAAATGTTTAAAGTGGGGGTTTCAACATCAGATGTATAAAGTGAGGACATGATTGCTCCAAGATACAATTGAGAAGGTTGTTTTTTGTTTTTGGTTTTTTATTTTTTGAGACAGTGTTTTTCTGTGTAAGCCTGGCTGTCCTGGAACTCACTCTGCAGACCAGGCTGGCCTTGAACTCAGAGATCCACCTGCCTCTGCCTCCTGAGTGCTGGGATTAAAGGTGTGTGCCACTATAGCCTGGCTGAGGAGGAGGTTTTCACTGTAGATATGAAGAAGAGTACAGACAGAGGCATCTGGAAGAGTCTGGAGAAGGGAGCAAACTAAACATGACCAGTAGACTGAACCGAGCCATGAGAGCAGAGAGAAGGGGGAGAGAGAGAAAGGAAGAGAAGAGAGGAAAAAGGAGGAAGAGAGAGAAAAAAAACGTAAAAGAGAGGGGCCAAGAGAGCTCATGGCCAAAACGGCAGCCAGCGTTATGTAGGAATGAGAAGCCGGGGGGGTGGGGGGAGTGGGGGGGGTAGTCCAAGAGCTGGAGAAGTTCAGAGTAGAGCAAGGGGTGAGAAGAGCTGAGGGGAGCCCCGGGGACTGGGTGAGCCTAGAGGTCAGCATTACGCTTTGGTGTGCTACCAGGCACCAGAGTTAGCCATTTGTCCCGAGTTCCTTTTGGGCCTGACAGTGAAACAAGACATACTCATGGCTAGAGCTTCCTACTGCAGTGACCAAGGGAAGTGCAAGGGAGCACACAGATACAGTGGATTTATTGATACGGCACTAGGAATACTAATTCCATAGAGTATAATCCATAGTTCTTTTGGGAAAGTGATTATTCTGCTGGTCATCCAATAGGTTTGAGGACTGGATTCCCAAATAAACAAAATTGGTAAGGGATTTTTGACAGGCAAGGGGGAATTCTAGTTAGTAGGGATGGGTAATGTGATTGGTCTTTGGAAGAACAGAGGTTGCATACATTACAAATATGTTCTTATTTTATCTGATACATGTTTTATCATCCCTTATTTTTAAATGTGATTGCATTACCTTTTTCACACTGAAACTTGTTATTTTGAAATAATAAAAAAAAAAAACCCGCACATTACAGAGCAATCAGGAAATACTCAAACAATAACACTGTATTAGTCAGCCTGAGCTGCCATAATAGGTCCACAAAATTAAGCGGCTTCATCAACAGGAATTTATTTTCTCACACTCTGGACCCTTGAGCTAAAGATCAATGTACTAACCAGGAGATCTTTGGATGGTCTTTTGTATTTTGCTGATGGTCCTCCTAGTTCTCTTACTCTTTTTTTTTTTTTTTTTTTTTTTTTGGTTTTTTGAGACAGGGTTTCTCTGTGTAGCCCTCGCTGTCCTGGAACTCACAGAGATCTGCCTGCCTCTGCCTCCCAAGTGCTGGGATTAAAGGTGTGTGCCACCACTGCTGGGCTGTGTCTCTTACACTTACAAGAATATGAGTCCTGGATTATGGCCCTACTTAACCTTAAAGGCCCTGTTTCTAGATACTGTGACATGAACATTAAGATGATTTCATATGAATTTTGAGGAGACACAATTCTGTAGAAAACAACTATTACACCTTTACAATACCCTTTTAAATATGTATTTCTGCACCTTCATGTGCACTATATAGATTTTAAAGAGGATCCCATCACTTACTTTGCTTGGCAACTTTAATTTTTACTTAAAATACCAATACCTTTCATTTGGGTAATAGCCTCAGGTCATGAGGAACTGAATCAAGCTGGACAGGGCAACAGCCCCTGGCCATAAAGAATGGCTTAGCCCCAACCCGACTATTGCATTCTACCTGCAGAAACAAGAGGCCCTCGTATCAAAACCAACCCACCCTGCTCCCAGTATAAACGGGGGTGGGGGGGGTGGGGAGGGGACACATACACGACACACACTGTAACTTCCCAGTGGCTACCTAAGTATTTATACATGTCCCTCAGCCTTTCTAAGTGAGCTCAGCCTTCATTATGGAAAAAATAAAGCAGTCTCAGCCTGTTGAGATCAAGTCTGTCTGCTTCTCATTTTTCTTACGGTTTTCACATGAATAGATGTATTTCCACAATATTTTAATAGAACTGTTATTCCATCATTTGTATGTTTAGCACCACTTACCTAACCAATTCTCTTTTGTTGACTTTTGGGTTTTCTTTCCCTTATTACGGCTTTGAACATGCATGTGCGTGTGCTGGAGCGGTTACACAAGTACTTCGTTGACTGTTCCTCTGGATAAAGACTGAGAATTTCTGACTTGGTCACAAAGGTACTGAAGTTTGTAAAGCTTTTAACTACACATCACCAGCAGCAGCCTTCCCAAAAAGGCAGCAGCAATTGCTCGCAGCTGTGTGTTTGTGCGGCCCTATTCTCCATGCCCCTAGCAACTCCATCCAAACATGCGTCTGTTTAAATTTTCCAGCTGACTTCTTAAGGAAGGAAAGAGATACCTTGGTTGCACAAAAACAGCATTTCGTAAAACTTTAAGTGTGCGGCTGAGATTTCAGGCGCCTGAGTTCTCCGTGGAGGATCTGGAGTTAGGAAAAGAGAAGTCCGGAGTGTAGCTCTGGGTATACTGAGTCAGACGGGAAAGCGAATTGCCGAAGACACTTTAACCTTTCCCGTCGGTTTTCCAGGGAAGGCCTTTAAAAGAAAAAGAAAAAAAAAATTCTTTTATATCAGAAATGCAAATGTTATCAGGAAGGTTGAAAGTTTCAACCTTAAGGCAATATTGGCACATGCACTACTTCCCAGGGTAGGGTTCTGGTCTACCCCAGCACGGGTGCAGCAGAGCCCATTGGAGGACCCGGGGGGGCCGCCAGCCGTCCCACAATGCCCCGCTCGCGCCACCCTAAGGGCGGAGAGAAAGGACCGCTGCCAGTGCAGCCCAGACGGAGAGCTCCAGAGGTGCGCCTGCGCACTGACCCCGGCGGGCCCTAGCAACCAGAGCAGTGACGGTAGCAACCGCCGGAATGGTGAGTCCCCTCCAGGCCCCGCAGCCAAACCCGAGAGGAGATGGGGAGAGGAGAAAGGGGTGACGGTGGGGAGTGGAGGGTGGCGGGGCGCTGGCACCGCGGGTGGGAGGGAAAAGGGAATGCTGACTCCATGGAGCCGCAGGCCCGAAGCCGGAGCAGCTGGGGCAGGGGGTGGTCTGCGGAGAGGGAGGCCGGAGGCTGACAGGAAGTTGGGTTAAGCGGAGGGGACTCTGACAGAAGAAAAGGAGAGACAGCTGGAAATTCTCGGAAAAGCGGATTGGAGTGGGGAAGGTGATCGGATGGGGGCTCCGGTAAAGAGATCTCTAAGCATAACCGTGATTTTAGCTGTCCTCACCCCCTGGCACGATGGAGGGACGGGGGCTGGTTACCGAGGGCTCCAGCGGCGGCAGCCTTAGTAACCTGTGGTGTGCCCGGGTGCCCTCGCTGGCTGTGAGTCCTGTTGTGAGGGGACGCTGTTAAAACTCTCTCTGGTGGATCTATGAGGCCAGAGTTTCTCCAATTCCAATATGAGTAAGTGTGAGCTTGGTTGGAATGCAGATCATTGGTTTTTAATATGATGGGGTTCAGGAATGTTTCAACCATGCACCTCAAGTAAATTCTGAAATTGGGGAGCACTCACCACACTTTGAGAAACGCTGCTGGTTTAGGTTTGCAGTCTACCAGTGGTCTATGCAAAGTTCTCAGGTAGCCACGGTTTTAACTACAGATGCTTGTCAACGTGGAAGAAACGCGCACTCTTTTGCTTACGTACTTGGTATTTCAAACTATTCGTTTGAAAACGATTTCAGATCCAGCCCAGCCAAAACTATTTTAGAGAAGTATGAGGTTGCCTTGCCGAGTGGAGATGTTGATAAAGGATGAGTTCTGGGGGTCTGAGGATGCAGCTCCGTTGTTAAGAGTGTTTGCCTAGCATGCATGAAGCTACATATTCAATCCCCAGCAGATTATAAACAAATATCAGGCAGAATGGCACATGTCTGTTATCCCAGGACGCAGAAGGTGGAGGAAAAAGGGTCAAAAGTTCAAGGTCATCCTTCAGTCTGAGATAAATACATGGAGAGCTGGGGGTGGGAATGTACCTCGCCGGTGGAATTAGTAGAAGGCTTTCCTAGCATGTATGAGACCCCAGGTCTCTAACACTGCACAAGAAAAGAAAATAATGAAACAGTATAATTAGCAGGTGTGCGTGTGCGTGTGCATTTCCAGAGCTACATCAATGCACAGAAATTAAGCCCAGTGCGTTAAAATCATGAGGTCATGTACTCCTCATATTGACTGCATACTGGTAGGCCTGGTCCCTTCAGGATGCAGGCCCACATAGTTCTTGGAATTTTTTTAAAATATGTGCCCTCATACCCTGGGACCCACATGTTAGAGAATGAGAACCAGTTCTCAAAAACTATCCACTGACCTACACACACTGTTGCTCATGTGTGCATGCACACACACACACACACACACACACACACACACACTCACAAATGTTAAAAAAAACAAACTCAGGGTTCTGTTTCACCATGGGCATGATTTTTGTTCACATTTAATATTACCAAAATATACTTTTAGGTAATTGATGGCATCTTTTATTTTCTGTTTTTGAAGACAAGCTCTTTCTGGGTAGCTTAGGTTTGCCTTGAATTTGTTATGTATCCTTGGCTGGTCTCAAACTTTGATCCTCGGCCTACTGAGGAAACCAAACAAGAGAGTTTTAATGTTACTGTCCAAGTTAGTCTGTATTGACCATCTTTTTGGTTTTTTTGTTTTTGTTGTTGTTTTGTTTTTTTGAGACAGAGTTTTTGGAGCCTTCCCTAGAATTCACTCTGTAGCCCAGGCTGGCCTCGACTCACAGAGATTCACCTGCCTCTGTCTCCCGAGTTGCTGGGATTAAAGGCATGTACCACCACCACCGGCTCTATGACCATCTTATTTAAAATAAATGTCCTCTACACATATATGCGTATAACCTGATACCATTTACTAACCTCAGTATCCTAGGTTTTTTTTTTTTTTTTTTTCGTTTTTCGAGACAGGGTTTCTCTGTGTAGCTTTGCGCCTTTCCTGGGACTCACTTGGTAGCCCAGGCTGGCCTCGAACTCACAGAGATCCATCTGGCTCTGCCTCCCGAGTGCTGGGATTAAAGGCGTGCACCACCACCGCCCGGCCAGTATCCTAGTTTTTTAAAAATAACTTTTACTTTTTAATACATTACTTACTTTGCTTATATTTACTTATCTTTTTCTATTTATTTATTTTATGTATGCATATGGTATACCTATAGTTACATTATCAGATTTATACATATGTATGTGCACATTTTACATACATGTATCTATATCTACTTCTTTTAATAAATGTAAGTTCTAGAAAGGCAGGAATCTGTTTTGTTCACTGATATGTCAAAATCAAATAGAAAGCCAGGTGTGATGGTGCATTCCTGTCATCTCAGGACTCAGAAAGAGATATACGGCATAGAAGAATGCTTGTCACATAGTAGACACAATGAACAGTTGTTGAACTAAATGAATTCCCCCAGGTATGGTATTTGTTTCAGGCTTTTTTGGCTTTTATCAAGTAGGGATTTCCTTTTAACTCTCAACTGACAGCTTTTAATATCCAGTGTAGAAGTTTATGTTTTCCTGCACTTACTCAAATGAACGTGCTCCCCTCTTAATCCATTAGTCAATGATTGACACTTAGATATTGGTCTGTTTTGCTCCTTGGGTTGTTGGGATAAACTTTTTGGGGGGTGGTGGCGACGGGGGGGAGGTCCTGAGACAGTTTCTCTCTCTCTTTTTTTTTTTGATTTTTCGAGACAGGGTTTCTGTGTAACAGCCCTGCCTATCCTTTCAACTCTCTTTGTAGCCCAGGCTGGCCTCAAGCTCACAAAGATCCACCTACCTCTGCTTCCTGAGTGCTGGGATTAAAGAAGTGCACCACCACCGCCCGGCGAGACAGTTTCTCTGTGTAGCCCTGGCTGTCCTGAAACTTGTTCTGTAGACCAGACTGACCTTGAACTCACAGAGATCCTCCTTACTTTGTCCCCCCACCCCCAATGCTGGGGTTAAAGGTGTATGCCACTACTGCCCAGCCCAATGAACTATTCTTAACCATGGTCAGTATACACTGGCTGATGTCTCCAGAATCAAATCTATATTGAAAAATAAAGAGGGCATTGTGATGTGGCTATGACACCAGTTTGAAATAGCCTCCTAAATGTGCAGCTTTCCCACATTTTCTGGGTTTGGAAACAACTTGTAAACAAAGCATATCTGTTCTCAAGAAGTCATTAGGACTCACTTGTAAACTATGTGGCCTTGGAGCTTTGGGAGAAGAGAACAGGCTAAATCTCTGATTAGCATTTGAATGTTTTAAATCTTGTAGTCTGCTCAAAGTTTTTGATAGTTGGGGCCCTATTTTTCTAGGAATATACATCTTGTTTAGGTCTTAAAGCTATTGCCATATTTTGCTCCTAAATATTTTTATTTTAGAATCTCTGTAGTGTGTAGTTGCTACTACTTCTTCTATTCTTTATTTTTTAATTTGTGTGTCTTTCCTTTTGCCCAGTCAAGCTTGCGAGAGATTTAAGAACCACCTTTTAGTGTTACTAGCCTTTCCTGGGTTTGACTTCTTTTTGTTTTTTTCTGCCTTCTTTTGAGTTTGTACTGATAGCTTTTTAAAGTGTGCTGAATGCTCAGCTTGTTTCTTTCTTATTCCATATTTTCTGGCAATACACATGAAGATAGAAGTTTCTTATCAAATGTTGACTTCCCCTTCCTGTCCCTCCACTGGACACTGGGGACTGACTTTGTCAATGCTGGGAAGCATTCTAACCACTGAGGCACACTTCAGCTTTTTATTTTTCTTTTTGAACTTGCAAGATACTTTTTTGATGCAAGAGCTATTAGTGCAGTATTCTACTTTCTAGATAAAGTAATAGCTTAAGTTTTTTTTTTTCATTTTGCTGTTGTTTATGGTTCCTCTTTAAAAAAAAAATGAGCTCTAACAGTAATTCATAAAGAACATTGTAGTTGGGTTTTTTTTTTTTTTGGTTCTTTTTGTTTGTTTGTTTTTTAACTCTTTGGGGGCCCTCCACCCAGCTCTCAAATAAATACATGGAGATTTATGCTTACTTATGAATACTTGCCCTTACTTAGCTGGGCTTGTTTTTAGCTGGCTTCCCCCTGCCCTCCAGACGGGGTTTCTCTGTGTAGCTTTGGTGCCTGTCCTGGATCTCACTCTGTAGACCACGCTGGCCTCGAACTCACAGAGATCTGCCTGCCTCTGCCTCCCTGAGTGCTGGGATCAAAAGCGTGCGCCACCACCGCCCGGCTTAGCCAGGTTTTCTTTTTTTTTTTTTTTGGTTTTTTCGAGGCAGGGTTTCGCTGTGTAGCTTTGCGCCTTTCCTGGAACTCACTTGGTAGTCCAGGCTGGCCTCGAACTCACAGAGATCCGCCTGGCTCTGCCTCCCGAGTGCTGGGATTAAAGGCGTGCGCCACCACCGCCCGGCTATTAGCCAGGTTTTCTAACTTAAATTATCCCGTTTCTCTTTAACTGTGTTTTGCCTCTGGGCTTTTTACCTTTCCTTATTCTATCTATATTTCTTTCCTTCTTACTCTGTGGCTGACTGTGTAGCTGGCTGGCTGGCCACTGCCATCTTCCTCTCCTCCTTTTCTCTCTCCCCCTTCTTATTCCTCTTTTTCACCTATTTATTCTCTCTGCCTGGCAGCCCCACCTATTTGTCTCTCTTGCCTTGCTATTGTCC